TACGTTGACCCTGATTGCAGTCGTTTCCGACCACGCCCACCCTGCTGGGACTGTTGCTTTAATAATAAATTTTCTTTCGATGGAATGTACAAGTGTAAATGCTTCTTCGAGGCTGACGCTTTGCATTGTTTGCCCGCAGAAAAAAACCTTGAAAAATTCGGAATATTCTTACAACTTTTGATCATGAAAAATCTTAGAGAAAGCTGAGTTGGGGCGAAACGGTGCTCCGGTAGCGCATGTACCGCACTTGCCTGAGGTGAGCGGGAGGTTCGGGTTCGAGTCCGGTTTGGGGCGAAAGTTTATTCGTAACCCAGGATTCTTGAGAAATGTTAGAGTTCTTAGGAAGGGCTGAGTCTCATGAAGTTAGTGTCTCAAAGTCGCCTTGCCACAAATTCAAATTAATTTTAATTCGAATTTACAGTTCGTCCCTGATTTACGATTGTAACGCACGCACGGAAAGCTGCTAACGCTGAGTTCACGACAAATCGAGAATCCATCCATTCATGAACAAACGAGTGGAACCACCACTCCTCGAGCTTTCGGACAACCGAATGATGCCACCTGCCGAGTTGCCAATGGTAAGTCCAAATGGCCGTGTATATCTTCTGAAATGTTTTGAGTGGGTTTTACAATTCTATCGTTGCCCACATAGATTTGTGGATAAAAGCTTCTCATGGCTAAATGGCTAAGGAGCGCGTCAGCAGTGGGTTATCCACAAGATCGAGTTCTGCCCTATAACCTATCCTTTCACTCTGAGCAATGTTGATAGTGCATATACGATTCGCAAACAGCCAGTTATCAGAAGAAATAGTGCTAATGTAAACTGGTGTTCCTGGTTAAATCTGTATCCATACGCTTAGCCCGATATCAGGACTTCTGTCAACCGTGAGGCTTGGCGGTTCAGCGTTTTGTAGTGATGTCTGGGAGCTCTCACAAGTGCACACTATCACAGCATCTCCTCTTTCTTTATCTCCTTCAAAAGGCTTAGTCCCAATAAGACACAAAGTGTGTGCTTTTCCAGCTACGCTCTCACCCTTTGGTTGACAGAAGCCTTGTAACCGTTAGCCCAGATAAAAGGAAGTGTTGGAGCCTGAGCGGAATCCCTTGTTTGAATCTCAAAGGTAACAGTGGTGCATCATGCTCCATAATTTTCGACCAGTTATATAATAAATGGGCATACGAAGCAATCAAAAATATTTATTTAGACTAAATATCACATAATTATGTACATAACGAACAATAGTTTTGCGTTGACTTGTGTATACACGACGTTT